ACGTGTTCCGCCACGCCGTCACCAACTACCGCGCCTGGATCCTGTCTCTCACCTACGGCTACTGCTTCGGCGTGGAGCTCGCCGTGGACAACATCATCGCGCAGTACTTCTACGACCGCTTCGGCGTCAAGCTCAGCACCGCCGGCTTCATCGCCGCCAGCTTCGGGATGGCCAACATCATCTCCCGCCCCGGCGGCGGCCTCATGTCGGACTGGCTCTCCAGCCAGTTCGGCATGCGCGGCAGGCTGTGGGGGCTGTGGGTGGTGCAGACCATCGGGGGCGTCCTCTGCGTGGTGCTCGGCGCCGTCGACTACTCCTTCGGCGCGTCCGTGGCCGTCATGATACTCTTCTCCCTGTTCGTGCAGGCGGCCTGCGGGCTCACCTTTGGCATCGTGCCGTTCGTCTCCCGGAGGTCGCTGGGGCTCATCTCCGGCATGACCGGCGGCGGGGGCAACGTGGGCGCCGTGCTCACGCAGCTCATCTTCTTCCACGGATCCAAGTACAAGACGGAGACGGGGATCAAGTACATGGGGCTCATGATCATCGCGTGCACGCTGCCCATCACTCTCATCAACTTCCCGCAGTGGGGCGGCATGTTCGTGGGGCCGCAGCCCGGGGCGACGGCGGAGGACTACTACAACCGGGAGTGGACGACGCACGAGAGCGAGAAGGGGTTCAACACCGCGAGCGTACGCTTTGCGGAGAACAGCGTGCGGGAGGGGGGCCGCTCAGGGAGCCAGTCCAAGCACACTGTCCCCGTCGAGTCCTCGCCGGCCGACGTGTGAAACACACACATGCGTACGGTAGTGCCCGTATATACAATCAAAGGTCCCACGTCAGCTGATCATATGTACTGTTCCTGAATCGTGGTGTTTATTGTGCATCCGTGTGGTAATTTCTGTGTGAAAATAAAAGCCGGTGGTGAATTTCAGCAAAGCCAAAGTGATATTATAAGGGATTGTTCATTTTGCTAGGTGGTTTAAATTTTTCCTGAAATATATAAATCAACTTCGTTCCAGGTCAAGATCCAATTGAAAAGGTCATTACTTATAGCTCAATAAAAGCGACATGAACCAAAGTATGGAATTAGGCAGATTATGAATAATAGTACTAAAAAGATAAATTCTTACGATAACCAGAAATATCTGGCCTATAATTCAACAACCTCTAATCATCATCACCAATAATATATATTAAATATATTCCTTTTAAAAGATACCTTATATGGCAATATGAAAAATACATAAGATAACTCCTAAAGGCATCTAAATGACCCATTTCTTTCATTATGAAAACAGTTTAAAAAAAACTCCAAAATTTACATCTAAATTACCCATTTTGTTTTCTCTCTTGTTTCTTCTTCTTTCTTAGTGTGTTGCTAGCTGTCAGCTTTGCCATATTTTGACGTTCTTTTCATAAAATGCTGGCAATTATCCTGGAATTTTAGTAAAATAATCAGAAATATCTAACCTTGAATTTAGTAGCAAATAATAGCCCTTAATTTATTATATTTTCTATAAATTACCCCTCTGTTATTACGACAAATACATAAAGTAACCCCATAGATATGTACCCTTCGAAGCCAAGCTTTCTACTCGCAGTTCATTGTCTCGCGGTCCATCCTACTTCAGCCTCTAGCTTACCCTTCACCCTTTGCACGGTATATCATAACTAAGCCATGCTTTGAGCTTCACCCATACAAGACTTGCACATGATCAAGCGGGATTGTGGGAACATTGCTTTGATGGGCTTAGGATGCCAGACTTCTAGCCTTTTCTAAAACCATACTCTATTACGGTGCCTATGTTGGAAAAAACATAGAACTTAATTTTAGAAAAAAAAAATCTAGATCTGGTTTCGTATTTTTCTGATCCAACCAAAATTTTAAGATTGATTCTGATTTTAGAATTCTTAATTGCATAACTTTCTCCAAAAAAATATTTTGAAAAAATATTTTTATAATTTTTTAATAATGTCACCTTTCTAAACTAACAAGGTAGTCCGTTTTATATCTACTGTAACTGACTTCGATGGAGGACCGCTGGCATGGTTAACTAAAACTGTTTTCAAAACCAGCCCCTATCAGATGGCTTCAAAAGTGAGGGGTCTCAAAATTCGATACTCTTATTGGGAGAGGCAAAAAGAGACTTCAATAGTAGTTGAGTGGGCCTCCTCTATTAGTGTCATAAGGGCACTCTCAATGTAGAAATCATCATAGTTTTTATGTACATTAATTATACTGCCATATAAGCGTTTTGTTGATGTGGCAATGTAGTTATTAAATAAAGAGAGCAAAAATTATAGAAACCGGATGTAAGTTAGAAACCACGTCTACACAGGAAACCAAGACACGAAGGCATGTGATTGATAGAGAATGGAGAGAAAACGTATGTGATTGGATTAAAAATTGTTATGTAGAAACTATCCATTGAGACCATGATTTCTATATGTAATGTCTATGAAAATTAACAGGTATATAAACTACATATAGTTTCTAGCATCAAGACTGCTCTAAGTTTTATTGGCCCTCTTAATTTTATAGTTCATGCTCCGCAGCAACTGGTACATCGGGACAACAAGACAAGATGTGCAATCTGGTTATATAATTAGGCCCGTTTAGATCCAATTTTTTTGGATTTTGGCTCACTGTAGCATTTCGTTTATATTTGGTAATTAGTGTCTAATTATGGACTAATTAGGTTCAAAAGTTTTGTCTCGCGATTTCTCACCCAAGCTGTGCAATTAGTTTTTTTTTCGTCTACATTTAGTACTCCATGCATGTGCCACAAGTTTCGATGTGACGGGTACTGCGCAAAATTTTTTGGAATCTAAACAGGCCCTTACTTCGAGTGGTCGAGATCGGCAGGCAAACTAGCTATAGGCCCAGCAAAAAGAGACCTGACTGATAAAAAATGATTAAGTTCACTTTTTCTCCTCAATTGGGTTCGTCTAATTTTGACCCTCAACTACAAAATCGCCTAATGCTAATACCCCAACTATCAAAACCGTTCACTTTTAGCACCTGGGTGCAGGTGAGGCTGTTTTGTCCCCACGTGGAGCGGTTTTAACCACGACACGTTGGCGTTGACCTCCATCTCAGTGACATGTGGGGCCCATGCGTCATCGACTCAACCCCTCCCTCTCCATCCTCACGGCCACTCCCCGACGCCTCCTCTCTCCGCGCGCGGCGGGGCGGGCGCTACACCCTCCGACGCGGCGGCGCTGCCAGCTCACCGCGCGAGGCCCTGCCAGACCTACAGCGCGATGCCGCGGCGGTGGCCGGCCCTCCGCACGGCGGGCGGCACACCTCCTCCTCCTCCTCCAACACCACCACCACCACGCCACTTCCTCCTCGCGACGCAAGGCAGCGGGGCGCGTGGCCTAGGGTTTGGCCCCTCCGTCGCCGGTCGTCCCCACGGCCGCGCAACTGAGGCCCTGACGCGCGGACGGCTCTGGCGGCGGAGGGACCTCCGTGCTGGGCGTGGATGACGACGGGGAGGTCACGTCAGCAACCTCGGCGGTGGATCTGAAGTAGACGCTTGCGGGGCCCCTCTCGGCGGCGGATCTGAGGCTGGAACACGGCATGGACCTCGCGGCGGCAATGGAGGTGGTGGATTTGCGTCTCCACTAGATCCAGCTGCATGGGCTCCACCGTCGCGCTCGACGGTGCCACACGTCCGCGAGCTGGCCGCCGCCCCCGCAGGTGGCCGCCGCCGTGGCTGCCACCCCGACGCGGCTTCGTCCCGCAGGTTCGCCTCTCCTCACGCGCGTCGCGCTGGCGGGGCGGCGGCGCCCCCGGCCTGCCGCGCCGCAGCGCGTGGGCCCCCATGGTGGGCGGCCCCACGGCGGTGGACGTCCTCGGCCACGGGGCGGCACCACAGGCCCATGCCGGTAGCCGCCGCCGCTGCTTCCCCCACGCTGCCCCTTCCCGCCGCTCCGCGTGTGCTCCACCAAATGCTTGGATTTCTCCGCTCCCCATTCAATCTATGCAGTGAATCGGGTGAAAAAAAAAAGTCATTTATTTCCTTTCCTACCTTGCCGGCGCGCACGAGGGCGTGCGTGGTGGACTAGTCATTCATTAAATCAGCACCATGTGTATACCAGCATCGAACTTATAGATTTCTCTATGCATTTCCCCTATTATCTGTATTTAGTTTTTATCATGCTCTGCAGGGGCATTACTATCCTTGTGTATTCATGCAGGGTGTTCTATGAATGCATTGGCCTCAAGCATCCAAGACATCATCTGGAAGCAATGTTCAAGACAATTCTAACAACCAAAGGTGGTTTGATAAAGGTGCTGAAGCGTTTGTACTGGGAGTTGATAAATTAGAGAGTATTCACTTTCTCAAGACAAGAAGTAATTTTTGTATGCACACTTGTACTTCATTAACGTAACGAGAACATATGTTTCAGTGAAGTATCTCCTCAAGATTTCGTGAACCTTTCTTGCACTTCTGTCAATGTACCACTATCTCAAGATACATGCGTGTTATCTAGACTACAAAACAAACAAAAGTAAGCTTCATCTCAGGTGTTTGAATTAACGACAAGCACAAGAGCTGATGTCCTAACTCAGTATTCTTGCGACCACATGCACGCCAGCTACTGAAGATCACTTCTCAGAAAAAAGCGCCGCAGCCAGTCAGCACTGAAGATCATTTGTCTCTGCCAAAAAAAAGGTGGTCATGAACGTAAGTAGCTGTTTCACAAATGCCTGGAGTATGCATAAACATAAAAGTTCAGAAAGAAACAGGGAAGGGAAAACTAGCAGCCACATGAACAAATTTTATTATCTGTATATATTGATTTATTATCTCTATAGATTGTGTCTCTTATAGAAGCTTAGACACATAGAAGTCAATTCTGGTCATGTAGACAGGTCCTAAATGCTACCAGTAGTTAATGGTTGCTAGAACTAATACTGTACAAGAAATCACCTCGGTTTGTCTCCTTTCTTTGTTACATCCAGATAGAACATGACTAGCTCGCCAGCATCCTTAGCCTCTTTTAGTGCACCATAGACTGATTTGACCACACACAGGCATGAAGATAACAGAATGATGGAACGCTTGGTGAAGGCCCTTGGACTTCATTATTTTGATGATCTGGTGTCTGGTACCCAATATCGAGGCAAGAAATAGGATTGCACTAAGAGTCATTATGTTGCCTTTTGGTGTGGCTTTTTTCTGAGGAAAACACTTTGAGTTGTCTGCGCTTTGACTCTGATCTTCTCCTTTCACCATGTCACATTCATTGCAGTCCCCAGCCATTGCACGGGGTGCATTTGCAACCCTCTGATGTGATAAATTGGCACAAAAAGTGGCACCCCAAACACACACCTACCAGAATGAGCAATAACAAAGATTGGATCAAGGGTGAAGGTCAGACAGAGATGATGTTACTCAAAGAACTGTGTTTCGATTTTCACCTGTAAAGTGATGTTGCAAAAATCTCTTGATCTGCCATGATTAGCAGCGCATTCTTTCCTCGCCACACATGGAAGAAAACCAGAATCCACACCCTTGATCTTTACTATGCTCTTGGCACTCTTCTCCACCTTCGAATAAGTCATCATCTTGTTCTTGTCCTGTAAGATAATGTGTTGGTCGGTTAGGTTTACATGTTTTTTTTTTGGCCTCTCATCTCTAAGTACAGCTATAGAATCTGTTCGGATACAGACACACACCACCACACACACGCACACCTCACACACACACGGTATACAAACAAACCTACAACTATACCTAGATGACGAACGCAGCTGAGAGATACTCGAAGATCACCAGACTCCGAGCGTGATGGGCACGTCACTTGACCATTGTGGCACATCTGCGCGAGAGGCAACTGAAATTATTAACGGAGAATAAATCTCCGAAGTGAGGCTCCTGGGTTGATTCCAGGAATCGAACCCAGGACCGGCCGCTCGAACCACAGCGAGCAAGCCAACTAGCTCGTCCTCAGGTTTACATGTTGTGCTGTCTTATAGGAATGGATTGCAAGCAAAGATAAATGCCCATGGAGCAAGAACACATATAATAAGAACTGAGCTCCAAATGATCATGCATATTTCACAGAATGTGCTACCGATGATCCTACAAAATGGCTGGTAGGTTAACTCACAGGATCTTGCATATGTTCATGGTATTGGTATCCTTGCATAACTGACACTGCATACTCACGTTCTCCAGTCGAACCAGTCTTAGTAGACTTTAGCGTCAAAGGCTGAGCACACGGATTGACAGCAGAATTTGATATGCTGCGACATAATAGGATGAGACTATGAGTAACTATCCTAAAAATCTGCATCCGGAGAATGTTACGAAAAAACAAATTGACGTCAGATTACAGCTCATGTAAATACCAGAAACACTTGACCCATAGCCTAAATCTGTGGTTCCTGTTCGGTAAGGATGAAATACAAATGGTAAGGTTCAGTAGCACTGTCATAGTACTGCATCTAAAATTTTGAACCTAAAATATACAACAAAATTAACTCTAAATAAACAAAGATTTTCCGGCAACAAAATGCAAACAAATTTCACAAAGGTGCTGTTTAGTTCCTAAAATTTTGCAAAATTTTTAAGATTTTCCGTCACATCGAATCTTTGGACGCATGCATGAAGCATTAAATATAAATAAAAAATAAAACTAATTACACAGTTTAGACGAAATTCACTAGACGAATCTTTTAAGCCTAATTAGACTATGATTAGACACTAATTATCAAATAACAACGAAAGTGCTACAGTACCATTTCCTAAAAAATTTTCGCCAACTAAACACAACCAAAGGCAAATCATAAATTCAGAATAGAATATTTCAATGTGACAGAAAGAGAATTGGTACATCTACATGCCAACTAGCAAATTATTTAAGTGCTGGTACTTTCTGAATTAAGGTGACAGAAGTCAGAAGGTGTTTGACTTGTGCCCATGTGACAGAAGGCGTTCAACTTAGGTCAATTTCAACTTCGTACAATGATTTAATGTTGCTTTACGAGGTACAAACATTTCTTTCGGGAAAGCAAATTCATAGGGTGTTTAGTTGGTGAGGTGAAAATTTTTGGGTGTCACATCAGATGTGTTGGAAGGATGTCGGGAGGGATTTTTGATACTAATAAAAAAACAAATTACAGAACCCATCAGGAAACTGCGAGACGAATCTAATGATACTAATTAATCGGTCATTAGCACATGTGGGTTACTGTAGCACTTAAGGCTTTTAATGGACTAATTAGGCTTAAAAGATTCGTCTCACGATTTTCAACCAAACTGTGTAATTAGTTTTTTTTTCGTCTACATTTAATGCTCCATGCATGTGCCGCAAGATTCGATGTGACATTTTAGGTTGAAAATTTTTGGGAACTAAACAGGACCTGAAGCGCGTGTTTAGTTCCAACCCCAAATTCCCAAAAAGTGCTACAGTTCCCATCACATCGAATATTACGATACGTGCATGGAGCATTAAATGTAGACAAAAAAAAATTAATTGCACAGTTTGGTTGGAAATTACGATATGAATGTTTTAAGCCTAATTGGTCCATGATTGAACACTAATTGCCAAATAAAAACGAAAGTGCTACAGTAACCCAAATTCCAAAATTCACCCGACTAAACACGCGCTCAATGATGTAACGATGCCTTACGAAGTACAAACATTCCTTCAGGAAAGAGAATTTATACAACGATGTTATGCCTTACGAAGTACAAACATCTCTGTCAGGAGGCTTGGGAACTAAAATTGCAATGTGACACTGCACGGCACACTTGTCAATAAAAGATAGATATAGATAAGAGTACACGAAACCAATCTTGCGATGCTAATTTAATTCGTCAGGAAGAAGTAACCCAAATTAAGCAATGTCATCCTCTCGAACATATACCCAAACAGAAAGACAGTAAGGCAGTTTGCAGTACATGCTAGCACCCAACAATAAGAAGAACCAATCAGACACCGTTGAGCAATTCAAAATCCAGAAACGGAACAGATCCAAAACAGGAAATAAAGCAAATAAACAGGAAAGGTAGACGGGCGGAGACCATCTCTACCGCACGCACATATCTGACGAGAACAACACCTGATGATAACATCTCCAATCAAGTATAGGGGGTAAAAAGAGAAAGCAACAGAAACGAACAGAGTTATCCTGAGTATGACGCACGCTAGTAGTAGCAAGAAGAGGCATCAATAATCGGATGATGAGACAAAGACCGTACAGGTTTGAAAGGAAACAGGAAAGGCGAACAGAGAATGAGAGATCACACTATGGAGAATCGGTGCTCAACCGCCGCGCCTCTTAGAAGAAACCACCACCAACAGCGGACACAGAACGCAAGAACAACAAGAGAGCCAACTTGGGGGTAAAATCTCGCAAGAGTTTCAGATACCGAAGGGCCTCAATCAGACCGACAAATCGACTCCATCCCGAACGGAAGTACTCACCAGCATTCCCCAATTTCACATCACTAGCACCAAGAACCACAAGATGATGCGCTGAGGAACCACGGTGCGGTGATCGAGGAGAACCAACCCCGACCCCAGTTCAGAGGAGGGAGGGGAGAGAGGGAGAGGTAGAGCGCTTAATCACCTCGGCTGCAGCAGACCCGGGCAGCGAGCGGCGACGACGCGGCCGTTGGAGAGCGCGGCCGGCGGTGCAAGGCGAAGGGTCGCCGAGAAGCGCGCCTCCAGCGCCCCGTGGTGGTGCGCGAACGGGGAGCAAGGGGAGAAGGCGAGGGAGGAGAAAAAATGGGGGAGCGAGAGCGGCTTCAAGCTGTCCATGGTTGCAGGCGCCGCGAACTCCGACCTGGAGGGAGGGAACAACGGCCTGAACCCAAAATGTATTTATTGATAGAGTGAAATACAATAGCAGCCCTTCAATTTGTTACTTGTCGTTGTTCACCGCAGTCTCATTTTCCATCCGACGCGGCCTTCAAACGACGTGGCAGCGCCCACGTAACAGACAAAATACGTGTGCCGCACGTTTCAATACGGAAAGCAGGTGACAATAACCATCTAGGCCCCTCCGCCTCATCAAATCTCCAAAATCCTATCTTCCCCTCTTCAAGCACCAGGACTATTTCCGCTCCAGTAAACGCGAGCGTGTGCGGCTCCTCGTTTCTCCGCCTCATTCAACATCTGGTCCAGCAATACTACTGCCCATGTAGCAGCGGCTCCGGCGCCCAGCGCACTCGGCGATGAGCGGAGGGTCCTGGCTCCTGCGCACACGAGTGAAGCGGCGAGCGAGCGGCGGCTCCGATGCACCCGACGGCTCCGACGCACGCGAGTGAAGTGCCCTGCGCAGTTCTGCTCGATGCTGGCCTACGGACTCGACGCGAGCGGCGGCTCCGGCGACCCACGAGCGTGAAACAACGAGCCGCTGGACCCGCCGGGACCACCAGCAGCAGCTGCGGCAGAGGAGGCCATGGACGGCGTGCGCGTCAGGTGGCCGTAGACCCAGTGCCCGAACCCCTCGCGGCGGCCGGAGTCCTCGGCGTCGGGGTCGCCAACGGCGAGGCGCTCGGCCTCGGGCCCCTCGATGAGCGGCGCCAGTGCCTCCCCGCCGAGGCGCAGGCTGCCCGAGCGGGCCACGAGCTGCTCCCCGAGGTACTGCTGCAGCACCTTCTCAGACAGCGGCGGCGGCGGCGGAGCCGCGGGCGCCTTGCTCCGGCGCGGGACCAGCATCCTCACCGGCGACGCGCTCCGCGGCGGCGCCGGGGACTTGCCTCTGGAGCTCGCCGGCGACAGCCCCCGTACGACCTCCTCCTTGAGCGCAGCGAAGAACCCCTGCTTCCTCTCCTTCTCCATATCTCGCAATGCCGCCGCCGCGACCAAGGAGGGCTAGTAATATAGCAAAAAGGAATTGGTTTTCGCTTCACGAGGAGGGCATGGAGAGTGCGGCGAGGAGTGGAGTAGAAGAAGGGGAGAGTCGGGGACGTACGGTGCGGCGCTGCGCTTGAGTTGGAGTGAAAGGGAGGGGCGGAGGGAGTGCCGAGTGCGAGAGGTGGAAGGCGACGGGCGGAAATGGTGAGGGAGTTCCTCTGTCCCCTCCCGTCCCTTTTCCTGGTGGACCCGGATTACTGGAGCGGAGGATTTTGGATATTTGACGAGGCGGAGGGCCTAGATGTATATTGTCACCTATGTTCGGTATTGAAACGTGTGGCTTACGTGCTTCGTTCGTCATGCTAACGCTACCACATCGTCTGGAGGTCACGCCGGATGGGAAATGGATCTGCGGTGAATAACTTAACAAGTTTAGGAGCCTATTTTTCGTGTTTGCAAGTTCGTGGACCGAACTAGCACAGACCGACAAGTTAAAGAGCCGCCAGTGTATTTCACTCTTATTTATATGCGTGTTCTTGCGTTGCTACGGAACAACTAAATTTTTATATTAAAAATATATGGATCGCACAAGTAATATATTTAGATAACTAATATATGTATATATACTCAAAATAATCTTTAAAATTATAGAGATAGGTCACGGCACACCATTGCTGGGCAAGCAATCATTTAGCATGTTTAAATAATGGCGGTACATTATTTCTATTTAATCGTCAACGTCTAAAATAATCTTTCATCATTTAACATTGGACAAATATGAGCTCGGCGCTTTTCGATACATCAATTTATAGATGCATTAATCTAAAACAAATTTGAATGTGGTAGCAGACTAATATTTATTCACAAATCGATTGCAGAATTAAAACAAAAGGCGGCACGAGCAATTTCTTTGAGATACATTTTGAACATATTATTTTATTACATGATGGTTAACATCATCCACAAACTGAAACTATCTTGCTGCTGCTACTGTGTAATCCAGTGATCCAATAACATCCCTTCTATACCTAAATAAAGAGAGATATATTCAAAGATATACACGTAGTGTATATTTAGAGATATATTTTACAGTCTTGCTAGGGTTGGTCTCTTTGTAGTTTGTACTGACCTTCAAATTCTCTTGAGGGTCCAATAACAACCTCTATATTTTTGCTTGTAGCCTACCAAAGGAAATGACAAAAAAACATGATTTAGAAAACAATCTTGACACATAGTATATGGAGTGTCATCTTACAGGTTTTCATTTCTCTACCACTATGAATGATACAGGGAATTAAAAAATATCAAATTCACAGATATTTTCTTTGGATGGGTAGTTTAATAGAATCAGTAGCTAGATGACCAAGCGAAACAGATCATCACCACACAAGCGAGAACATCACAAAGGACAAATTGATTAGTGATTTTATCTTGGAGATGGATGGCAGCTCTTCATACAGGAGGCTACAGAGGGTCGGCTCAATTTGCTAGACGGCGCATGGAGAAGGGCACAACTGCTTCTTGGACGATGAAGAAAGATTTCGCTACCTCTCCGCGTCAAACGTCCAGAATGCATACCTCTTACTTTTCTTACTTGCTGCAGCATGAATAAATTCTCCTCCTCTTATCATGTCCATTCAATCCAATCTCCAGCTGTAATTGAACTTTGGAAGGGTTACCTTCACAACCACCGTATAGTAGAAAAATAGCAAATTCTCTTTGTATTTTAGCCATGGTGTTTGCAGCAAGCTAGGTTCAAATCACTAATAAGAGACCTCCTATATGAAGAGATATTTTCAATATGAAAGCCTTCTAGTTCCCAAATTACTGATCTGCACATTTTTCATTCAAGCTGGAATTTTCCAAAACTAGATGTTAAACCTTTAGGTCCTATAGATTTTCAGGGGCTTTCTATTATAGATTTCCAGGAGCTGGATCAATTTATAGCCATCTTATGCTTCAGGAACATGATCTGTTTATAACATGTTCAAGTGGACCAAATAGGCTGCACATATGCACAGTCGTGTGCTGCAATGTGTATCTTCTATGGCTTTATATTTAAAAATAAAATTAGACAGATAACTTATATGATCATATCTTATGATGCCTAGGGTGATAATATATGCCCAAAGAGAAAAGCAGAAAACAAATGGTAGACAGAAGAAAGGATGGAAGTTGTAACGGTATGAAGATTTGGTCATACCAGAGCTAGAAGGGCCATATTGTCTGATTTTTCTTCTATCTGCTAAAGATTTCTCTTCAAACTGCACACGGTCTTCATGTAATATGTCAAGGTAGATGTATATGTTGATTTGTATGATAAGTTTCAGATCTTCACACTCATCCACAGGAAATGGCCTGCCGCTCTTATATAAGAACTTGGCCTGATATATTCAATAGATTCAAAATCGAATGGTATATCAACGCTCCAAATTTGTGGGGGTGCAGGATATTCTATCACCATACATGTGCAAACTGCAAATTATATCTTGGGTGGTAATCTTACTACAGCTGATCGATTTTATTTATCTATGAATATGCTAGATGTCCATGAGCATACGTACCTGCTTGACTATGGTGCTTGCCCCTGACGCAACAAAAAAGGTCCTGGGTTGTTCTTTGTTCTAGGTAGTCAGGGATGGCTTGATTTACCATGTTAACAGCATCACCGCCAGATTGATGAGTTGTTTTGGTTGGGTGTTGACAGTGTCAGAATAGGACTAAGAAGCTTCACTATAGGCTGGTGAGACATGCAGACAAATTCAAAGCTGGTTAGTTACCATCCTAAAAATTACAACACCATCTACACAAGAAGAACCCCAGGGTTATCTTATCCCAGATATTTCCTTTAACAGTTTTTTGGCCTTCCTCTTGGCCGGTAAGTCCCATCAGCGTTCACCCAAAAGTGAGGTTTCTCAGCACGTTGGACTCCTGCCAATTGAAACCAAACATTTCTATTTAACTTTATTTTTAAACAGATAGCAACATATGTCAAGATCCAGTAGTACAGGGATGAAATCAGATAACTACATTTAATATTAGGTGAATGTTTAGTTTTGCCCTATCAGTGTAGTACCTGCTAGCATCTTCTATCATACGGTGAATAGTCAAGTGTAGAACTAATAAAAGAACTAAAATAAATCTATTAGTATATTTTTCTTTCAAGCAAATCAACCAAGCTCCTCATGCCAAGTCGATCTGACGATATACTAACGTAGTGAAGAATCAAAGATAGCACACCCGTGCTAGTGAGCAGTGACTCACCTGCTCACAAACATTCTTTTTTGGACAGAGCATGAAGATTAGAGATTGTATCATGTCTTGCGCCATCTCTTTTTCCTCCAAAAATACTTCGCGTAGAGTTGACACAACCAACACAGAAGACAGGCAGGGCAGCAGAGCCCACCTCATCTCCTACTCACCACCCAGTCCACTTCTCCAAATCTGAGCACAAACCTTGCAGGTAATTCTGCGAGCAGCTGACGGGCATCAACTGGGTTGTGAGGGAGCTGCACAGCGCTGGTGGTACTGTAAGGTTGAGATGGCGACTAGAGGGGGATGAATAGTCATTTCTAAAACTTAATCGTGCCGGCTAATCGAAACAAGTGCGGAATTAAAACTATCATTAGATGCTTTTAGCTCCTCATGTGAACAAGTAGTAACATAGAGTAGATGCTTTTGTTGTTCACATATGTTCTTTAGAAAAGAGTTTTCATTTTTCAATTTCTCGGTTTTAACCATCTCTTTTTCTAAAGCTTTGATCATGCAACCATATCTATCTAAAAGCTCCTCATATAAATCAAGATCAATCGCATTTGCATTAGATACCGTAGTGTCACCTTGTGACATGAAGCAATGTGATGTAGTTGGAGAGCTTGAAGAAACATCACTCTCGTATCCCGAGCATGATCCATCATTATCACCACCAAGTGTGCATGGAGTAGCATCATCATTGGCATCACTTGTGGCATCATCATCAATCTTGTCAAGTGATCTTGTGATATGATCATTATCATCATCACTTGACCATGAGGTGGATCAATCTTTCTCAATCACCACATTGTGATCATGCTCGACACACTCATACGCCTTCTTCTTGGGCTCATCATCATCATCAGAGACTGTCCCATACTTCTCATTGAGATAACTCCAAATCTCATGGGCGGTCTTAATGTCAATGATCTCTCCAAAGATGTTATCATGCAAGGATCTATACATGATGTTAGTAGCTTGGATGTCGAGATCTAGGCATTTCTCTTGTGCTTGAGTTAGATTATCTTCATCCAACACATGAGAAAAGCCTACATCTACCATCCACCACATTTGAGAGCAAATAAACTTAAAATTACATATCATCCAATTTTTCCATCGTGTAAAGTGTGTGCCATCAAAAATATGTGGACAATCAACATCTAGCCCATAAGCCGCCATCCTCTTGGGTCAGTGAAGACCACAAATGAGAGACCTAGCTCTGATACCACTTGTAAGGTCGAGATGGCGACTAGAGGGGGTGAATAGTCATTTCTAAAACTTAATCACGCCAGCTAACCGAAACCAGTGCGGAATTAAAACTATTGGTATAGCCAAGACTACACCCCTCTATCTATATTCTCTAGCACCTCGCTAAGATCCTAATTAAGCAACAAAGGTGTCGGACTAGCTAGAGCTCACCTAACTAATTCTAGGAGTAAGGTCACACAAACCTATGCCGCTAGTACTTCAAGCAATGAGGAAGCTCCTACACATGCTAGTAAGCAAAAGCACAAAGCCAACTAAGCTCACTAGCAATGCTCAATAACAAGGCAACCAATGCCAAATTAGAGAGCGCAAATACTTAGCTACACAAACTAAGCAATGTGACTAACAAGGTTACACAAACCAAATTAGCCACACAAGAGAGCTACTTCTATGCTACACAAGCAAGAAGGTAACTAGTGAGCTACATAAGCTAACTAATTACAAGAGCAACTACACAAGCATAATGTATATAAAAGTAATCACAAGCTTGTGTAAAGGGATTGCAAACCAACGGGAAGAACAAGGTTGACACGGTGATTTTCTCCCGAGGTTCACGTGCTTGCCAAGACGCTACGTCCCCATTGTGTCGACTGCTCACTTGGTGGTTCGGCGGCTAATTGGCATCACCCGCCAAGCCCGCACGTCGGGCACCGCAAGAACCTACCCCGAACGTGAGGGTAGCTTAATGACACGCTCAACTAGAGTTGCTTTTCGTGGCTCCCACGGGGCGAGCACAATGCCCCTCACAAAGCTCTTCTCTGGAGCACCGCACAAGCTTCTTGCGGGCTTCGACGGAGACCACCACCAAGCCATCTAGGAGGTGGCAACCTCCAAGAGTAACAAGCACCGTCGGCTTGCAACTCAATCACCTGGTGCCACTCGATGCAACCTCACGATGCAATCGCACTAGAATCGCTCTCTCACACAATCGGATGATCACTATCAAGCATATGTGAGATGGAGAGCTCCCAAGCACTCTCAAGCATGGACACAAAGTCCCCTGAGGTGCTCAACATAAGCCATGGCCGGGACCACCTTCTATTTATAGCCCCATGGGCTAAACTAGCCGTTACCCCTTCACTGGGCAAATTTTAGGATGACCGGACGCTCCGGTCAGATCGACTGGATGCACCCTGCCAGTGTCCGGTCGCTCTACGCCATCCATGTGTCGCTCTACGTTCAACCAGAGCCGCCCAATCTCAACGGTTAAGCTACGACCGGACGCATCCGGTCCACCATGTCTGGACGTAGACCAGCGTCCGATCAGTTCTGTGCCCGCACGCCTAACTCCAGCGCCACCTATGTCACCATATGTCAGCACTGACCGGACGCAGACCCTGAGCGTCCGGTCACTCTTCACGCCAGCGTCCAGTCACGAGACCGAGACCACGCGCTCACTGCTACCATTGACCGAACACGCCGGTCCTGCCGAGGCCAGCGTCCGATCAGTTCTGTGAAACCCTGTCTTTTCTATATAGGGCATCGGTGGCACCGTCGGACTGTCCGCACTCTACGGGCGGACACTCCGCCAGTGGAGTTTCGAACCTTTCTCGCCTCTGTTCCATCGCCGAGTTGATCCACATCAACTCCAACTTCATCTCCTTTATAAATGTGCCAACACCACTAAGTGTACACCACCATGTGTATGTGTATTAGCATTTTCACAATCATTTTCCAAAGGATTAGCCACTCAACTTGCCACGCCACTCAATCCTACCGACGATGCAAAGTTAGATCACTCGAGTGGCACTAGATGACCGATATGCAAACAAGTTTGTCCCTCTTGATAGTACGGCCATCTATCCTAAACCTGGTCATAAACTTCTCTACACATCTATGACCGGTGAAATGAAATGCCCTAGGTTATACCTTTGCCTTGTGCATTCCATTCTATCTCCTCCAATGTCGATGCAACACATGCACCAACACGATCAACAATGATATGATCCACTTCATATCATCACGTGATCATATTGGTTCATCGATCTTGACTTCACTTGCTTTTCATCGTTGCCTTTGTCCATCGGCGCTAAGTCTTGCTTAAGCTTCACCGCCACGCGGTCCATCACTCCAAAGCCTCTAACTTGCCCTTCACACTTGCAACCGGTCCATCAAGCCAAGTCATGTCTTGATCTTCTCCACTTTGATCACATGACTCAATGTTATGTCTCATTTGCAATGAGCTCCTTCATCATCACACGTGTGAGCTTTGCAACATCTCCAAGCCATTTTCACCTTCATGGCATATGTTGCTCACACACATGTACTTGTGGACTAATCACCTGTGTATCTTATATAAACACAATTAGTCTACCTAGGTTGTCACTCAATTACCAAAACCACACAAGGACCTTTCAGGTACTGGTCATGCCCTCCCTCGTGGCCGGCACGAACGCCACGATTCCTCCACGACTGGCCAGCAGCAACAACGTTCCGCCTCGCGTCCATCACGAACATTGTGGCTCCTCCATGACTGGCCAGTGGTGGCGGCGGCCTGTGACTCGGTGTGCGCGGCCTGGTCGTCGGGTCGCTTGCCCACCCTCGCCGCGCTTCCGGTGTGACTGCTCCCCTTCCAAGGCCGCCTTCTTGATCGAGGGAGCTGCACAGCATCGGCGGTACTGGTCACGTCCTCCCTCGTGGCTGGCACGAACACCGCGATTCCTCCACGACTGGCCAGCAGCAGCGACGTTCCACCTCACGTCCATCATGAACGTTGTGGCTCCTCCGTGACCGGCCAGCGGCGGCGGCCTATGACTCGGTGTGCGCGGCTTGGTCGTCGGGCCGCTTGCCCACCCCCGCCGCGCTTCCTGTGCGACTGCTCCCCTTTTAAGGCCGCCTTCTTGATTGAGGGAGCTGCACAGCGTCGGCGGTACTGGTCACGTCCTCCCTCGTGGCTGGCACGAACACCGTGATTCCTCCACGACTGGCTAGCAGCAGCGATGTTCCACCTCGCGTCCATCAAGAACGTTGTGGCTCCTCCGTGACCGGCCAGCGGTGGCGGCGGCCTGCGACTCGGTGTGCGCAGCTTGGTCGTCGGGCCGCTTGCCCACCCCCACCATGCTTCCGGCGCGACTGCTCCCTTTCCGAGGCTGCCTTCTCGATCGGGGTCTCGTGAACCCACTTTTGAGCTTGGTCCACCTCCTGCTCGTCGGTAGCCAAGGGAGGGAGTGCGGCGCGAGGGCGAGGGCACGGCGGCAGCGTGGCCGAGCGCGGCTGCGCGATGGGGAAGAGCGTGATTGGAGGCGGGAAGCAACGAACTGCCGTTGTCGCAGATATGATGAAACGCTCGCGGATCGACATATCGCAAGCCCGCGAGGCCGAAGGCCTCGTGGATCGACGGCCGGTCCGCCCCATTCTCGTCGCCAGGCACGGCGACACCCCTAGCAACAGCGGCGGCTCCTGAGTTCCGCATGAGGGAGATGGCCGGCGACGTGGGCCGGCCTGCGATGGCGCGGGCGGCGTGCGAGGGTGGAGCAAGAGGGCTGCTCGTGAATCGTGATGGGGTTGCGAGGAGAGCGAGGATGCGGGAACGCAGCAGGCAGACGATGGACCCACGAACGTCGCAACAAAAAGTGTTCATTCTTTTTAGTTGTATAGGATAAGGAGAAAATGGAATTTATTAGCTTCTAGTCGCCTGAGATAGAGCTGTTCTCCTCTCAACGTATCTGGTGCGTTGGATCACCATCCAACGGCCCGCCGTTCACCTCCAGCCCTCCACAATATGCAGCTCACCACCAGAAATCGTGAGCCGCGCTGATTTTAGGCGACCGATGTATACAAACGATAACATGTTTTTTGTTTTTCTCATGGTGGTTAGTGACCTTGAGAATTTGAGGATTTTTTATGAGCTAATTTTTAGTTCATCATTTAACTAATAGCCACAACCGACAAACAGGAAATCCTACTGTAACGGGCCTATTCAGCTCACAGCCCACCAAGGCTCTTTCTCAGCCCAGTCACGGCCTCCGGTTCAAATACACCATGACAGCGCGGGCCCGCAGACCGAGGCTGCTGCACTTGTGTTCGGTGCGGCAGGCTAGGCCTAGGCGAGCCGAGTTCCGCCGCTCCCCATCAGGCCATCACACCAAACGGACCAGGCCCCCAGCTCTGTGGTCTGCGGCTCTGCGACTGCGGTGCGCCGGTGCCCGTCCCACCGTCCGCCCAACCTGCTGCGCCCCAGTCGCCCACTACTGCAGATAACACAGCGGGAGGCGGAAGCCGATGGCCGCCGTGGCAAGCCCCGCCCTCCGGCTCCGCCCGAGGGCCGCCTCTCCGTCGGCGCCCTCTTCCTCCGCCCCTCCTCGCTGTCGCTTCGGCTCCTTCTCTCACTCCTGTTTCAGGGTAATTCCTCCCCTCCCCTCCTTATACCCCTAGAAAATTTCCTTTAAATGTTGCTTGTTTAGTAGTAGTATAATATTTTGTTTGTCTGGGAATTTGTTAGGGTTTTGTTTGCTTGATTTTCCCAATCCCTCCTCCCTATACACATGATCTAGCCGGATGGAAGACTCGAATCTCTCTTGGTGCGGTGGCCATGTGCCTGGGCTTGTCATGAAAGTTCAGAGAGAGATAACATTCAGAATTTGCTTTAAGAAGCTCGGCAGTAGGTGTCTTTTTAATCATGAAGAATAGGCACCCAAATTCGCCTCAAGGATTTAACTTGGCTGGTCTAGGCTCCGAATTTCCTTTACATGCCCCCAGTCACAAGTGCCTATCTATACTCCATATACTCAGTGTAGTTCTGCACGATATTAGCGCGTAGAGATGCTTAAAGGGGTTTGATTTTGTTATATTGACTAGTGCACTGCCATGGCTTGTATATCTCAGTTTGCGAGGCCATTTCGAGTTCAGAGAGTCAATGGAAGTGCGATGCAGCATTTAGGTACTATAAAAGGTAAGTACTTTGCATTCTCCATCTGCTTTTCCAGAAGAACTTTGTTGAACTAGAGTAGCACTCTGTGCTGATCTTTTACTACACGGCTAGCAGGTCAAGTCTTAAGCAGCATCAGCGACCATGATGGACGACTTCATATTAAGAGAACTATATGCTTCGCTGCTACCGACAAGCAGGAGCCAGTCGTTTCACTTACCTCAGACATGCCGGTTTTGCAAGAGACAGAAAGTGGTACTAAAGTTACCCCTGCATCTGAAAACTCCTACTTCGCTGGCAGAGGTGCTGGTAAACCAGGATTCATCTCTTTTCATGGAAGCAGCTTCCAAAAGACAACTGTGGAGAGCGTGCCACATCCTGGCAAGGAAGCATCTCGATTAGTTTGGTTTATTGGCCCTACTATCCTCGTGTCTTTCTTGGTTCTTCCATCTCTTTACTTGCGCAAAGTACTCTCAAGCCGTGTTTGAAGATTCCTTGTTGACAGGTATGCTTTCTTTCATAGTTTCAGGGGGTGTTTCCTTTCTAGATTATGGATGTTTCGTAATGATTATAGATTTACAGTTTTTTACCCATAAATTGCAGGCTTCCAGTACTAAACTTAGATAATTACCTCCCCGCCCCCCGTTACAGAATGACGTATCCTGTCATCTTTCACCTAATTCATGACTGTGGTGTTTCCTTTGTAGATTAGGGATGTTTCATAATGATTATAGCTTCTCAATCATTTTTTCACAAAATTGCAGACTTCCAGTAGTAAACTTAGATATTACCCTCCAGTGTCACAGTATGTTGCCACAATGACCTATCCTGTCAATCTTTCACATAATTCATTTTTTACAATTCATTTCTTTTCTAAAAATCAGCAATATCCCGATCCACTGTCAAGAAAATGCAATACTTGATGGATTTTGTTTTTTCTTATTTGCAGATTTTCTTATACTATTCTTTACCGAGGCTTTGTTTTATGGGGGAGTTGCAATTTTTGTCTTCTTGATTGATAAAGTCTGGAGACCTTTGCAGCAAGTGGCACCGAAGAGTTACATTTGGTCAAAATCCAGATTCTTCCGTATTTCCTCAGTAACAACAATGGTTCTGAGCTTGATAATACCTCTTTTAACAATGGGCATGGTATGGCCCTGGACTGGACCAGCAGCATCAGCGACTCTTGCCCCTTATTTGGTTGGACTCGTTGTACAGTTTGCATTTGAACAGTATGCACGGCATCGGAAATCACCTTCTTGGCCGGTGATTCCTATTATCTTCAAGGTAATTTTTTTTTCTTAAATTCGTATTGGTATGATTGCATCATGAACTATTAGCGTTATTAAGGTCTAGGGTAACGGTTTAGTAGGAGGAGCTGTTTGTAGCCATTTTTTGTTGGAAAAGGAAGAGCCGGAGCCATTTTGGAGGAGCCACAAATTGTGGCTCCTTCAAAACGGCCCCGGCTCCTCAGGAGGAGCCCTCCCAAACAAGGCCTAATTGTGCTTTCCAGTTATACTCAAGTTCAAATGTTTGGAAACCTTTTATAGTTTTATACTTTTATTCCATCTCTTTAGTTTGTGATCTGATCAATCATACCTGATATTTGGGATCTGGGACTTGGGATTGGCTATCAGTGTATCAAGTAATTCTGGACTCTGGTAGAAGCATTTTGAAGAATCTATGGCAACAACCAAGTCTTGGAAATGTGGAAGAAAATAATCCAGTGAAGTAGTCTAGTAAATAAGTTTCTGGTATTTTTATTTGTATAATGTACTCCCTCTGTCCCTAAATAAGTGTCGTTCTCGCTTCCCGAGAAGTCAAACTCTTTCAACTTTGACCAAATATATACAAGAAAATATTAATATTTGTAGTACATAATTAGTATCGTTAGATAGATCGTTGAATCTATTTTTATAATAAACTTATTTGGAGATACAAATGTTGTTAATATTTTCTACAAACCTAGTCAAATTTAAGAAAGTTTGACTGGCACGAATACTATAGGGACACTTATTTAGGGATGGAGGGAGTAGAGCCAAATGATGTTCTCTTGTTTGTCCTTTGGATATGCTAGGACCACAAAGGTTAAAAAATGGTGCTTATGGGAAGCAATTTGATGATCAGCCATTATATTGTTTTGTTGATGTAAAAGTTTATATCCTGATAGAGGATTTAATGACACAAAAGAGAACTTGAGATTGACATATCCATCTAAGGAATAGGTGCATCCAATTTTTCCAAGGATGGTTCAATAATGTACACCAGAAAGCTAGGGCCAGGTTGCTTGCAGTCATTATTTCTTGGTTCTTGAGAACTACTGCTGCTTTCCCGACTCTGCTCTTGTTCATTTCAATTTTCGACCAATCAAGCAATTGCATATTTATGTTTTATATGAATGGATAAGCACTTTAATGTTACATGATGCTCTCCAGTCCAACTAAATGCTTCATTTAGTTCTCATCTTGTGATTCCCCCGTCCTTCCAGGTATACAGGCTTCACCAATTGAACAGGGCAGCTCAGCTGGTGACGGCACTCACATTTTCTGTCAGAGGAACAGAGACAACAAATCAAACTCTGGCTATCATGAACTCATTAGGAGCATTGCTGACTGTTCTTCAAATTCTTGGCGTTATTTGTGTTTGGTCTCTCTCAAGCTTTCTGATGAGGTTTCTTCCCTCTTCAGACATTCCTGATCCCTGATTCCTAGAAGTTTTGGTAGAACTTTGGAACATGGGAATAGCTTCCCATTGTAAATTGGTAATTAGTTACACGGAACCAGTTCACATGTTTGCAAGGTCTAGCATTTCTTTAGGGCTTCTTGATGCGATCTTCGGCTGAGTAATTGGAGAGAAATTGACACTGGAATCAAATAAACAGCAAATAAAAGGTCTGAGGCATACGTGTTTCCGTGCTGCTCTTGTGGATCAAATTCTGAGTTTGCAAGTGGATCAGTTTTGCAAGAAGGTACTCGAGATTTAGTTAAATTTAATGCTCCACAAGGCCCTTGCAGAACACAATACAATTCACAAGTTGATGGCAATCCTGTATATCATTGCCAATTGGTCAGACCCTGCTGATGCGGATACGTGGAACTGGATCTAGATGATTCAAACTTCTCTGTCCATTTTCCTTCGGAAAACATATTTCATGTGTGCTACTGAATTCAGTTTCCTTTAATTGGGTGCAGCATGAATCACTTTCTTGTGACGATTTTGCTGCTTTTGGCCAGTATAATGTCTTCAGTTCATACTTCATATAGAGAGTTCTCGGAAGACTTGCAGCGTGTGGCGACATATAAGAACGGCATCTTCTGCGAATATACTTTTCAGATTCAGCAATTTCAAAAAAACATGCATCGTTTTCAATCATGTCAATCAACTGTGCATCAGATTTCTCCATGCGCCGGTTTGAGGAGATTGATTTTAATCCACCAATCCCTTTGGAGAAGGGGTTAATCAAACGAGCCCGCAAGATTACGAGCCATTTCCATCCCAGTCTCTATCAAGATGTCAGCTTCAGACATGCCTAACTATTGCTATTGGAGAGTAAAATTTTGTGCTTTATGTAATCATCTCTTAGAAGAGAGCGTGTTTCTTTTTCTTGAAGAATGAAACTGGAACGTTTTCAAGCGTGCAGCTTCTAGTAGTTCACATTCACTGTATCAGTTTACTTCTTTTAAAAGGCGTATGTTTCAATTAGAGTGCATTTCATTTCAACTCTGTTCATGATGTATTTCGCACGGGCATCCTTTCGTCCTTGAACACCCTTTCAGTTATAGACTACGTCACATAAACCATCATAAACTCGCAGATCTGAAGTCCCTAAAGACGACGACCTTTCTGTCTGAACAAGAAAACAGAACCCATCGCAGGGGACCTTTCGAAGTCACAGAGCACAGGGAACAAGGGGGCTAGGTAAAGAAAACCAAAAAAAAATGATGTGCGCCCGCTTCACTGAGAGGATTAGAGGCAGATGAACTCCAACCCTCAAAGCTGAGTGAATCGGGCGCTTCGCCACTAATGTTCAACACACGTAGCCCATTCTTATGTGCAAAAGGTGGCCGGGCTGCCCAGACGAGATTCGTCGCAGCCGGATTGGAAGTTTTTGCACCAGCGTAGAGACACGAATGTTCCAAAAGAACAGTCCCAAGGAGAAGAAATGAAGCTCAAAACATCACATGAAGAAAACATGGAGAAAACAAAGCAAGCTCACTGCAAAAGAAAGCACAACCTCACTCGGACACGCTGCAAAAAGAACAAGAGAACAGAGTGAAACCCTACTCCTATAGTCCTATAGCTATACAAAGAACGGCGCCCTGAAGGTATGGATGAAACTCTGAGCTTGCCCTGCATTTTATAGGGAGGCTGCCCTGCGCCCCCAATCTTCTCCTTGTGGAGGTTTGCTCTCTGGATTGGTCGCTAGGGTTTCGGGCGGGCAGCCCGGGCAGCGGGCAGTGCCCCCAATTGGCATTAAATTATGAATTTGTCTGCATTCTGATCTGAGAAAAGGCTCAGCAACTTGGTTCGTCACCTTGTGGTTGTGGGGCCTTGTAGGAGTACTACATTATTGTTATCCTGAAAATTACTACTGTAGTAAATTGTTACCAGGTCTCGGTGCGTTTGAGTGACCATCTCCTTTCTTTGGAGAAGTTTCAAATCCGACACATCCCGTTTGCAGCAGTTTTTTACTGAGTTTCATCCTGATAGCTCATGAACAGTGATCCCAAATTAACACATAGCATCTCTGTTATTTTTCGAGATCCATTCTTTCGACGGAGTACGATCCAATGTCCGAACACAAATGGGACTTGACGGTTTGGTCCGCCAAAGTGGTTGCCATACCTTGGAGTCAACGAGGTGTCCTTGTTTGCAACGCGGCATCTCCCGTCCTCGGCACAATTTTTCCCGTCGTCAGTAGTCATTGTCTCTGCAATCTGCATCGTCCCTGGCTCCCTGCGATCCTGCTTTGCGGATAGGCACTGATTGCCTTGATCTTGACGTAGCATTGACGAATTGCACAGCATATCCACCGCGGCCTTCTTTGACTCATGTTTAGGGCCTTTTTCGCGTCTCTTATAATAGCACGTTTTTTAAGCTTATTTTTTTGAGCGGAGCAGTGTTTTTGCCTTGATCTTACAAATCATTGACGAATAGTATTTAGATTTTTTTTTTTTCATTGACTCATGTTTAGGTTTCCACGGTACCGTAGGAGGAGGCTAGAACAGTGGGATTTGGTGTGGGTGGATGAAGTTAGCGCCACGTTGGCTTGAACTTATTAGCTCGACTTATCAGTCATGATATAGTTTTTTTCTCTTACAATAAATCAGCGTCAGCTGTAGAAACCATCAGTCATGGTATAGATGTTTATATTTCCACGGTAGAGTAGGACCAGAGGAGGAGGCTGGAATAGTGGGATTTGGTGTGGGTGGATGCAGTTAGATATGCATCGAATATATTCATTTGTAGATCGTTGACTTATATTTAGCAGTATAGGACAAATTTGAGTCAGACTTTATAATTTGATCTTTTTACGGTTATGAAAGAAGGGCTTTTGTTATTACCATGACGATTTAGCGATATGCTCGTAGGAGGGAGGTGGCACGTTGTCATGACTCTAAAGCGGCCTATGTTGCGGTATGTTGGGCGCAACCCTTTTCGCGCCCCAACCTTCGCATAACACCGTCCCCGGGTCTTGCTCGAAATCAATCATTATTGTTTTTGCAGGTCATGGGACTTCGCTAGGAGGCGAAGGGCTTCGGCGATGAAAGTAGGCGAAGAGAAAGCGCTTTGTCGAAGGGACAAGACCAGGGCGAAGGGCGCGATCCATGTTGATAGGGAGACACTTCGCAAGGGCTCAAGTGGTCCCCCAGTCTAAAGTAGTCATGCCTTTTTTATACTTGTGTCGGTCTGGCCAAAGTACCCCGCCTAAAGGAATATTCTAGGTATCTAGGGTAGATGCGTGGCCACGACGGTCTTTGTGTTGTAAGGAGAGGTCTACAGATAGTGCCACCGGGTGACAGTGATAAAGGAGGAGGAATATAAAAAAGGCTCTGCTTTGCTCCAGTATTTACTATTTGAGAGTTCGACGGCCCTCACGATCAAAGACATCGGTCTAGAACAACATAGTATTTGGGAGGAGTGCCCTTAGCCATCTCCCGTGATGTAGGTTTTGGTTTAACCTCGTCAACAAATATTGTACCTCTGAAGTTATATGTGACTTTGCATGTTCATCTCATTAGATCCAATCGACACTTTCATGTGTGGAGGCTTGTCACTACAAGGGCTAATTTGTCATAATTTGTGTCAAGGGCTAGGTTGGATTAGATTAAGAGGTCATATGCAAGATCACCTAGAAGTTGGAGGATTATGCACCTACAAGATATCGTGCAATGTATGAGCATGATGGTGTAGATACGGCTATGATGGGGGTGCATCGACTGACTGGTTACTTTTTTTTATAAATATCCAACTGGCTAATTAAATTGTTTTATAACGTACTTTATTTTTCTTTGCCAAATAAGACGACAAATGTTGGCATATTTCCATAAACCTCTATTTGATGAAAAAAATCTTTGTGTAATTCTAATGTGGAGCAAGTCTTCATATCTTATTCGTGAAATTCACTCTTAAAATTACAAATATATATCAATGAACAAATTTTAAAAATTCGATTGCACGTGCTTGAAATGTCCCTTGTATTCTATTAGAAAAAAGTCCAAATTACTCCATCCAAGTTTAACCTTTGTCCAAATAATCCATAAACTAATGTTTGATTCGATTTACCCTAACTGCTTCAATTCGTTTAGTTTACCCATTAACAAGATTTGTTATTTTTTGTTTCTTTGCATATAAATAGAGTTTTAGTTTTATAATCTTATGAGGTGACATAGAACATCATACTTTATGTTAAAATTTACTTCTCAAAATTTCGATCATTATTTTGGTCAGTTAGGAAATTTAGTGTACATTAACACTATAGATAAAATGTTATAATTATCTCACAATTTTTTGAGGGGTCAACGTGGGGAGGTTGCTTCCCCACCTGATTCATTCATTGGAGATGGCAAGAACAGTGCCACTGATCTAAAGGAATTTTTTTTTGAGGGGTCAACGGGGTTTACAAGAAGTTGACAGTGAAGAATATGTATTATATATTGGCAGCTAATGAACAACAGGCATCACAAAAACTGCTTTTTTTTTAGCAGACCACAAAAACTGCTTGCTCGTTGATCGGGAGGCGGCAGAGGCGGAGCCACCACTAGGGCGAGCTAGGGCGACCGCCCTAGGTCCTTGTGGCCGGTCACCCCGTCCCCACCCCCCGGAGGCGGCCGGAGCTGGCGCTGGCGAGGCCGATGAGGCGAGGAACCGAGGTCGAAGACGACGGCGGCGCTGCTCCCGTACGAGGCGGACATGTAGAGCTTCATGGGCCTGGCTGCCTGAGACTGGGCCGCGACCCAACAGGTACCTAGCCCAGGCGAGCTGGCCTTAGGTGATGCGGCACCGTCGCCCGCTCCAGCAGCTCCTTCACGCGCACGCGCCGCCACGGCTCCTCTCTCGCGCTCGCCCTTGCCATCCCGGCGCCCGCGGATTCGGCGTCGCCGCCCGCCTCGCCTGTTGCCGGCGACTCACCTGCCTCCCGCCTCACCTTGGCGCCTCCCCCGGCAGCCCGGTCCTGCCGGCCGCCGGCCACCGGCGGCCCCGCGGCTCGGCCCTCGACGCCTCGACGGCTGCCGGCCGGCCCAGCTCCCGCTCTGGCCTTTGGCACAGGAACTCCCGCAGCTGCTACAGTGCTGCTTGCCTCAGCCAGCAGCCGGCCAACCATCACATTGATAATTTAGTTATTATTGATAGGTTCTATACTGTTATTTTCTAATTGACTAGTTTTCAAGGCTTTTATGATTAATAATGTTATTTTCTAGTTGATTTGTCTTCAAAATTGACATGTTCTATACTGTATTTGTCAATCGAAACATGTATTACTGATAATTCCGCTATTAAAAGGTAACATCTCGATTTTTATTGGTTCTACAATTTTTGTCCTCGATATGCATGCTGTAGTTCATTAGCCAAAATTTTAAGGTACAAAGTCCACCCTAGGTCATTTCTCGGGCTGGATTCACCACCGGGAGGCGGTGCTGCCATAGTTGGACCATTTCTTTGATAGAAGCGGACAGTCGACGCACAGATGGGGCAAGTTGATTGAACACAATCTCATTTCTGTGTTTCCATATATACAGCCCAGGAGATGAGAAGTAATATTGCAGAAGACCTTTGTAATGAGTGGCTGGAATTAATCTCCGCAGGACGTTCCAGGCACCGTATCGCTTATTTTCTCATAAAATACATCTTCCTAATTCACATTTTTGTTGAATTTTTTTTACTATGGCCAATACATCTCGTAGTAACAAGAATATATTATTCTGAGGGATATCAAGATTCAGTCTCCAATTCATATTTCGTCAACCAATTCTTCCTAATTCACATTTTTATTGAAAAAAAAATTCTTTTGTAATTCCTCGCATAAGGACTCCATAAATACCAGGTCCCCATCTACACAAGTAAATTGTTGATAAAACTCCAAAATAGCATTTTCTTTTGCCTCAATCCTCTTCTTCTCCTTAGCATTCGGGAAAGACAAGAAAATTTTGGGGTAGAAAACATTATATATAAATTTCCCTTAGATTCGAACCCATAACTGATGAAAGAATTAAAAAATATATTCCATAACTAATCTAATTATATTTATTTTGCATCATGAATGTTAGTATAACTTTGGTCAAAGTTTATACTGTTTGACTCCTCAGAAAACGAGAATTACATTCTTTTGTAGATGAAGGAGTAAATCGGGTTTTTTTTCGCAAAAGTTAATTCTACAATTTTGCTATAGTTCGTTAACATATTACAATAAAAAAATAGAAGTTAATACGCTTCGAGAATCATAAGTGTTTAAAGGGTTGGACGCAGATCCTAAGCCAAGAGCGGGCCAAAGAGAACAGGGGTAGCATCAATCAGTAAATCGTCTTAGATAAGAAGCCAGTTTAATATTACGAGAAAACACAGCCTTTAGTATAGCTCACTCGTTTGGATTGCTCACCATAGAGACACTCCTTGTTTTGAGTTATAATGGTCATGTCGGGTACCTTAGAACGGGGTATTCCAAGCAAACGTCAAAACAAAGCTAGAAGGTAAGCCATGGGCCCCTCACCTGCCGCGACCGAGCCCTCCTCCACCTCGCCTCGAGCCTCGGCGGGGAGGTCTCGGAGCGAACTCCGCCGCCATGTGAGGCTCCCCAAGGTAGGCCTCGGCGGGCGCCGAGCCCTCAGGGAGGGGCCGTCTCCGTCTCGCCCGAGGCTATCCGGGGAAGGCCTCGGCGGAGAGGCCTCATTCTCCGTGATCGCTTGAGGCCTCATTCTCGGTCGTGTCGCTCGAGGCCGGCTCGTCCCTGGTCCGTCGCCCCCCGTCTCGGCCGAGCCCTCCCAACAACTCGTCATGTCTCATTAATGCTTCAACCACTCCCGCAATCTCGGTGGGACGGTGGCTCAACGCCACAGAGGATGGCCGCCGCGCCGACCAGTCGCATCAGTATCATACCGCCGGGACGAGCCACTGTGTCCTACCATTGTGTCCACGACCAGCACCATACCGCCCGGGAAAAGGTGCGACGGGGATTACCGACCACTTTGTGTCCAAGCGCTGTGCCCATGATCGGCCGCCCGCTCAAGGCCTCGGCGATCTTGGGGTTCGCGCCTGCCAAGACCCCCCCACCGCAGTGCCGGCCTCGGCATCGACCAAGCCTCGGCATCGCGCACAGTCCGTCCACAGTGGCTTGCACGTTCGCCGCCGCATCCACTCCGAGGCATTCCGGGGCTCCCATGGCGCACAGGACTGATGGGATGACCACGCCCTTGATACTCAAGGATGGACCACTCGACGGCCACGCCGCCACAGGAACAGGCTACAGGGCCGGACACGCCGCCTCTGTTCACACGACGCCGTATAGTCAGCACATGTACCGCCCAAGTCCTCCCTTCATGCTATAAAAGGAGAGGACCTAGGTTGTTTTAGGGACGAGGGGACACCTTGTAACACACACGCACACTCCTGCCGCAGAGAGCAACGTCTCAAGCGGCCATGCAGCACACTCTGCCGAGACCTAGGACCAGCTCCTTCTCTCCTTTAGCTTGTAACCCCCTACTACGAGCACCTCGGTGCAAGGAATACAAGATCGATCTCTCAAACTGGAAGTAGGGCCTCGATTGCCTGAACCAGTATAAACCTTGTGTCTCTTTGCATCACCATCCGGATCGGGAGCACGCAGAACAAATTCACTAGTTGGTTGAGGACCCCCTGATCCCAAACACCGACAGTTGGCGCGCCAGGTAGGGGCCCTGCGTGTCGGTTTCGTCATCCAAAGAGTTCGGATGGCGGACCACGTCACGACCATTGCGTCTCGGCACCGTGGTTTGGTTGGGAGCCTAGAGTTCATGTCTCTAGGGCATGAGTACGACTTGGTGCTCCTCCCTCCTCGAGCCCCACCAACCAACGATGAAGTCACGCCCGGCGAGCCAGTAGCATGGCGGCGGCGTCCGGTAGCCATTCTCGCCGCTTTTCGCCAAGCACGGCATGAACAAGGCCACCCGGCGCTTACGCGAATCTGGGCAACACACCACCCCGCCGATATCCCTCGACCATTTGTTGCATTGGGGTCCTGGGCTGGGGACACATCTAGCCTGAGCTTGGACAAAGGAAACTTGCTGTGGCACGCTTGGCGATGCCGGTCGTTAAGCTTCGCTCCACCACTCCTGAAGAGCCGATTCAGTAGGCGAGAATCTGGAGCGGCACCGTCCCCATACCCTTTTGGGTTGAGAAATGCCG